CAGAGCGCGGGGCCTTCGACACCTATGCACCCGCCCCCAACATATGAGCCCAGCATTCACGGGGCACGTCAGCAGCTTCACCTCCAGACGGCCATCCCGGTAGCCCGCGGGGCCCCAACTTCATCGACACCTCAGGTGAACATTGACATGGGAGATGGGCGCACTATCAATATCCCTGTGCATAGGTAATCCCTTTCAAAGCCACAGGCAGTAATTGCATGCGTGAGGGCAGAATGTGATGTGTGTTGATTAGATCGGGTTGTCTTTTGGCCATTTCACTGCTCACCTGCATGCCTGAATTTACTGCATGTCCTTGCGCACTGTGCATGACCTTGCCCTTTCAGCACTGGCACTGAGCTCCTTGCACTGCTTTCTTTCTTTACGAGCCCTTAATATGCCTTTTAGTTTCTTTGCCTCATGCTCTGGAGCCGCTGTGCCTTGAAGCGAGCAGTCTCATAAGGCGGACTGTTCTATGTTGTTTTTCAACGTCGATGTTCGCTGCACTTGATTGCTTCGCTTCCTTGCATGCAACCTGTCACTGATACCATGCATCAAGCAGGAAAAGCGCGGTGTTTAAGGTATCCCGGTTGAATGTCTGGGGCCCAACATGTCTCTGCATGATTCAATTTCTGTGGGCCCAAGCCTGATTCGCGAGCTAAACCCTTTAACCCTCATGCATCGTCAGTCTGTGCATATGGGTGACTTCGATTTTCAGCTGGCTCCTCATCTGATTCCCTTTGTACCTTTGTTAGGGGATGAAGTTCTTGGGATGCTTGAGACCATGCCACATCACTTGGCTCATCAACTTGCAGTGGATCTTCGGGGTTACTTGTGGTTTATGCGACGATCGTGGGGGTGGCACTTCACAATCCTGTTTGAGCTTCACCTGTATGCCCTTTCCTTGGAGAGAACACTACGAGACTACCATAGACTCCACCCACCCCCAGCCCGTGGAACCACCCCCTTTCCGCCCTTGTCAGAGGAGGACAAATCCTTCCTGGATTTCCTTGCACGGGATCTTGAATGTCGTTTCGATGCTACATGCGAGAGTATCTCTTGGCACTACTTGCGAATGCATATCCCTGCTTTTGCGATCCTTTTATCGCCCGCAGAGTCTACCAGGTTCCATGAGTAGCCGAGAGGAAAGCATGTTTTCGATAGCCCTGCAACCAGCTGAGCAGGTGGTGACTCTACATGAATTAGGGGAAACATCGTCAGAAGAAGAAGCCCCTTTCGTAGTACTTTCGTCGCCCTCTGCCTCAAGCCCTCACTCCGCAGTCTGCACCGAAAACCCCTCACCAACACTACTGAGTAACAACAAGGACCAGGCGGAGCAAAGAGCAGAGGAGATCCTAAAGAAGTCCTCGGGGCCCACGAGAGCACAGCTAACAGACGTCTTTAATTTGCTACCTCGTTCAATCCTGCGTCGTTCAGGTGGTGAGGATGGTGACAACTCGTCGGTTGCCTACACAGTAGGAGGGGTTAACCCGAGATCCTCGTCTTCCCTTCTGAACTTGTGCAACTCGCACCCTTGCTTCGTCAAGCTAGTAACGAGTTTTGTAAGGATGATTGACCCTCAACACAAGTTTTCTAGCTTTGTGATAAGACGTGGATGCTACTCGCGAGTGCACAGAGACTCGAAGAATGGGCCCTACCCTTCCTTGGTAGTTTGTCTCAGCACCCCAGCTCTAGGAGATGGACTCTGGATTCACGACAAAATAGGAGGTACCTTTAAAGAGCACCTGGGCCAGTCCCTTCCGGGGACGATTATTCCACTGGATGCGCCTTTTGTGTTTGACGCTAGGAAAGTGTTGCATGCAGGACACATGTCAAACCTAGAATTTGCGTCCTCCCGAATCGTATTGGTTGCCTTCACGACCCTCAATGCTCGCTTTGTGGAGCCCAGAGTGAAGTTCTTGCTGGAGGACCTAGGCTTCCCACTCCCTAAGCCGGAGGAGTTATCCATGCATGACAGGGCAAGGCCACAAGAGGACGTGCCAAGGCTTAGACAGCTGTCTGTACACGAAGCCTTCAACCTTCCCAACAAGGTGGGAGATCTGCATGACGTCATTGAGGTTCTGGACTCACAGTAAACGGCTGGCTCATGGAAGTTACCTCGTGTGCAAGACACGACATTAGCTTTTGGGGTACTCGGCACCGACTTCTGCAGGACTGTGAATTCATGCATGTGATGCTGGAATTTAATGCTGGACTGCTTGCATGCCTGGGTGATGCTTGGTGATGATGCTGCATGCCTGTCTGGTCTATCTGTCGGTCTCTTCCCTACCCACACTCTTATCATGTTTTATCCTGGTTTCCCTCCCTAATAACCACTAACCCGCGCGCGGAGTGCCATGGCTACCTAACGACCTCGCCTTGGACTCAGACGTTGCTCCTACCTGCGGCTGGCTGTAATACCGATGCTGGGAGAGACTGCTTCGTGTCCTGGAAGTCAAAGGCTGTTTCGTTTCCCGAGAGCCTGCAGCTATGTCCCATGGAAGCCGACGTACTGAGTGGTAAAGACCGGTGGACAACACGAAAGGCCCGCAAGAAGCCGACATACTGAGTGGTAGAAACCTGTGGACAACACGAAGGGCCCGCAACTCTGCTTCCTCCCGGGCACTACTTGATAGCAGTCTCTGGTTCCGTGGAATAGGTAACAGTTGGACACTTGAACAGTACAGCGCAGGTTGGCTCGCCACCTTATTGGAAAACTGGAGTGTTATTCGCCAGGGGCGGTTAGCAAGACCAGTAGAGTTTCCACCAGTGGAGAGGAATGGACGGGCATGTTTACAGAAGGGCTCACGTCCATGGGGGAGTGCCTGCTGAATTCGTAAGCTTGCTAGTCAGAAGGAGATGAATTCACTGTTTTCGGCTGCGCTACGCTGTTGTTTTCAGCTGCTCTCCGCTGTCCTGGAGACGCCTACCGGCCTTTTCTGCGCCGCATTGCTTGTGTGCGGAGCCGCTATGACCATGTTGACGTAGTGGAGTACTGCCTATCTTCTGAGTTGGCTTGCGTGAAGAGCTGCCATGACCATGTTGACATCGTTGAGTACTGAGTGTCTTCTGAGTTGGCTTCGTGAATTCGGTATTTAGGTGTCACTTTATCCTGGGAGAACTTTTCGGAGTAAGATGGGCCATCTTGACTTCGGGCCCTTGGGGTGGTCTTGATGAGTTGGTGTGGTTGGTCGGGTCGTGTTTGCTTGTTTGTGGGCTTCGGAGTCGGGGTGTATGGCCCGGTGACAGTAAAATCTGCCACTCTAGACAGTCCATGACGTCTATCTGGTGGATTGGTTCTTAGATGTTGGGGTGGTTCCCTTTCCTATTGTGGACTGTTGATTCTTGTTTCACGCCGACCTCGTACCATGCACCTCGCCTGGCTTGTCCGAGTTGTGAGAGCGTAAACCCTAAACCCTCAACGCACAGAACCTACTACGGCAAGACCATAGGGTTTAGGGTTTACACTTCCCCGAAGGACCCTAGAAAGCTCAGAACAAGCCGTGAATGTAAAACCCTACTCAATTGTGAGCCCAAAACCCAATTCTCTACTGGCAACAAAGCAGCATCGAACGCGTCTGGGATGCGTCAGAACTGAGTTTGGGTTCTCGTCGTTCTGGCTTCTCCCTGCCTGGTGGCTTCGAGTTTTAGAGTCGTCAGTTCCAAGAAAACCCTCCCAGTCCCGAAAAAGCTTAGGGGGCTTACGGGGTTTAGGGGTTCCTTTAAAGCGTTTAGGGGTTTAGGGGTTAGCCGATTGTAAACCGAAAGACCTCATCTGGCTTGTCCGAGCTGTGAGGGTAGAAATCTTGAACCCCAAACCCTACACTGACCCCTAAGCAATCCTCGCCTAAAGCCTAAATCCTAAACCCTAAACCCCTAAACCCTAAATCCTAAACCCTAAAGTTGCCTCTGCTCAAAACAAAGCTTCTAGCACAGGTTCGGCTACCCGACGCAGACCCCGGCCGAAGTCCGGGCCACACTGCCCGAGAACAAGCAGGTGGACTTCTGCACTTGGGACTTTCCGAACATTAGCGTACCTTATTTTGGGGTCCTTGTAACAAGGATCCTACTATTTAAGGGTACTATATTAGGGTCCACTTTTTTCGGAAAACCCCCACTTGCCTGAAGGGGTTTTTGTTTAGGATTGCGGGGGCTTTGGGACTGAGGGTCTAGGGTTTAAGGCGTGATTCCTGGCTTTAGTACTTCAGGGCTCAAGAAAAAAAACAATTTGTGGGTCTTCTCCGAAGCCATTTGAGACTACTCCTCAACCCGGAGTGCTTGAATGCTCTGTACCCATAGGCCCGTAAGTAGTTCCTTCTTGGGATTACCTTATAGGATTCTAAATAGAAACCATAAAAAGGAACTACTTAGGGGCCTTTGGATAAAGTTGCAAAGCTCCTCATGCCTTGCGGAGCCCCAGATCCTGGTCCTCTTGGTAGCTAGTGCTTGAGGGAGAGTGGAGGGGGTACGGTTGATGATATATATAAATCCTGCATTACCCATGATAACGAATATACTAGAATTTCCATAGTTTAGGGTCCTTAAGGTAATGCAGGATTTCTATCATCAACAGTAGTGTAGGGACTGCTAGAAGGGAGTAGATGGGACTTGTGGGAGGGATCCACTCTCCCACTCCGCCCTGAGCCACAGTAAGCAGAGTCGACAATCATGGCTTCTGGCGTTTCGATTTGTTCTTCCCAGCTACATGAACCCTGTTAACAGACTCCTCCATGGTCAAGCAGTTGTTGTGACATTATGACGATATTTTTTGTGGAACTGCGGGTGACCTGGATGTGCCACTGCCCATCCTGAGCAAGAGCAGAGTGTTGAGGGCCACCAGGCATCATTCCAAGTCTCCATCGGTTCTGGACGTTTTGTAGTCGGCTCGAGTATCTCCGCTGGCCTTCCTCCGAAGCATTTGGTTGCTCTTGCCGGGATAGTTGCACCTTTCGGCTCAGTGCCCTATAGAGTGGCCCTAGTGACATCCAGCTCTTCGTTTCGCCATGGACCCTCACGACCGCTACGGCTATGAAGAGGCGCTGTCTGCGAGGATGGTGAAGTTCGGGCAGGAGGAAGTCTGTGCGATGGATTTGGATGAAGACGAGGAAGACTATGACGATGAGAGTTTCAGAGGCTTCAGGTTCCCACAACCAGTCCCAAGGCACCACATATCCACGCTGCACCTGGATGAACATGGCGTTCATGGACACAGCCTAAGTGGTGAGGTTTTGTTCGAGATTCCGCACAGTCGTTCGCAGGCTGAGCTCTTCACTGCTGGAATGCTGTTGGAGCTGATTTCAGAGGAGACAGGGTGCGAGGCCGGAGTTCTGCTCCGTGATGGCAGCGAGCTATCAATGTCCGACCCTGTCGGTGGAGAAGGGGTTCTAACACTAAAGCAGACAATTCGAGACTGTCGAACTCTTCTGTGCCGAAAGGTCTACCGCAGTGGCAATCCGAGCTTGAGGGAAGGGGAGGTTTGCCCAGACCTCCGCGATGTCACGGAACCTGTCCAAGCACTAAAGGAGTGGCGGACGTGGGTGACAAGAGGCTATCAAGAAATACCTCATCAGGAGGAGTGTTGGCTGGTCTATACCAAACGCGAAGTCGTATCCTACGAAGCAGGCAATTATGAGCCGTTGACGCCGTTCGGATATTTCCCTCAGGCACCTCTTTGGAAGCTTCCGGCAGGAACAAGGCAGTGGGGAGGTGCCAGAAGTGATGTCTGGAGCACTTGCCTCAGGCTGCCTGTGCGAAAGCTACTGGATGAGCACGCGGCCTTAACGCTCGACAGGCCGATACCACGATACCAGATGATCGTTGATCCCAATCAGTTCGTTCACCGGACACGTGACGGTCCTGTGTGGGTGCCGTGCGAGTTTGACATTTCTGCAGATGGCACTGCATCATTGGTGGGCGGTACGCGAAGTCATGCCAATCCACACCTTGCCCAGCATGTTGCCGGTCCGGTCCTCTCTGCAGCTCTGCCTCTATTGGCGAAGTTGCGGCGACCGCAGCTTCTCCTGGATGATCGGCGGGTGCAAGTTGTGTTTAAGGCACAGCGTATAATTGTTCCGGGAGATGCTGGTGACAACTCGGATGCAGAGTATGTCGGTCTGTGGCATGTCGACGGGCACAGAGAAAACGTAGCCGCGGTCGTACTGTACTACTACCATGTTGACTCTTCTCTTCGTGGTGGTGACATGGAGCTCTCTGGACGGGAGCCCATGGATGTGCTGGGCTTCGGCGATTGCAGCAACAACATCTCTGGCTTGGGATCGAAGTCCCTTCGGGAGGCTTTGCGAGGTGGAAGCAAGAGTGACCACTCTTCCGCGGTGCACAACTGTCGGGTTCCAATTGGTGATGGCACTCTGCTGGTGTTTTCGAACTATCAAATGGCTCACCGGGTTCTGAGGTTGAAGAACATCGGTTCGACAGAGGCCTCGCGCGACTTTGTGGCACTTTTTGTCTTGGACCCGTCCTCACCAGCCCTCCTGCCCGCAAGAAGCATTCTGGCAGCACCGCACTTGTTGAGACGGACCCTGGCTCCCGTACAGATGTCAGAGTCAGCCATCCAGAATGTGCTGGAGTTCCTGGGAGTCTCGCAAACCGACGTCGAGCGGAAGATGCAGCGCAATCGGCTGCTCTCAGAGCAGTTGAAGCCATCCGGTGAGTTTGCTTGCGGGGGGAATGTTTATGCAACCGGGAACGGATGCTATACCATGATCGGCTGGTTGCACAACATGCTGGAGCACAGGGGAGGCCCAGCTTTCGAGAATATGAACCCGGAAGGATTCGAACGCCTGGCGGCGCTGAATCTGCCTCCCGAGGGCTCCGACCGCGGCCTCTCCGAGGTGCTCTCGCTGTCTACTGCAAAGCTGCACCGAAGGCTCAGACAAGTTTCCCCTGAAAAATATCCAAGTGATGGCTCTGAAGAGAGCGATTAGGTCCAGAACAATCCTTACACATAGCTCCGAGAGGCTTCACGCCTGATGTATTTTCACAGAGCACACGGCAGCCACGACTACAGTGTACAGGCACATCATACTGCCACCGGTGCTCAAAATCCATGCTTCAGGTACAGAGCGACTGCGTCTTGCTGCTGTTGTGTCTCAGGTGGTGGTGGTGGTGGTGGTGGTGGTGGTGGTCGGGCTCCTTTAGGCGTAGGTTGAAGACCCTAAACCCTATAAACCCTAAACCCAGTTGTGCTGCAAGCAAAGGCCGATGTTCAGCACTCGGCCGCTCAAGACTGATACATACATGTGTTCATTTTGGAGCTCAGATGGCGGATGCGGGCTTCACTTTGTGGGAGTAACAAGATTACTTCCTCGCAGACCCTAACCGTAGGATCTGGCAATCCAGACGCTTGATATGTTTTAAAAGCCCCGATGTTTGGATATGTTTGGATCATGTTGGTGGCTACGGATCTTGTTAAGGAATGACTCCGCGTTGTCGTAAAACATTAGACCACCGCCAGCCCACGTTCCCCTGAATGACATGTATCCTCTAGGGCCCAAGCCGTAGCCCATGTATGTGCCTCAAAGCCCAAACCCAAAGATCCCCGCAGGCATCACGTACAGGCCGATGATAGGCAGGCAACCTTTAAATCTTTTGGGGTTCAAAGTTCAAGGGGCCTTATCCTTGCAGCAAGAAGGTGGTCGCCTTCCAGAACCGCAGCCCCATTCATCGTGCTCACTTCGAGCTGCTGGTGTGCGCCCAGACACTCGGGGCATGAATTGAGAGGTTTCAGGTTTCAACGGGGCCTTTATAGGGTTCCTTTAAGGGTTCCTTTAAGGGTTCCTTTATCGGGTTAGCTTCAGGGACCATATTCTGGACACTGCTTTCTTCCATTTGGAATCCCTGTGGTCGGTGACTTATACGAAGTTCCTTAACAGGAACCGGTTTAGTATGCGAGAGTGCGCAGAATTGACTTTTTAATTTATGCTGACGCCGAGGACTTCAGTCTGTATAGTATATTCATTAGGTCTCCCAATGGTGCCCTTTTGCACTTCTTTGGGGGCCTCCTTGTTGAAATCGAATAGTAGGAATAAAGGAACCCTGATTATGAAGGGGTTACTGGGTAAGCTAGAAACTCTCAACCCTAAGCCCCTAAACCTTGGACCAGTGCGCTAGACTCGCTAGACCTTGCCAGGCTTGTCCGAGTGTGAGTGTCAAAACCCTGTACCGTGGTTCAAGAATGGGGTCTTTTGCTGACTTCGGTTTGCAGGATCCGGATTAGAGGACTTATGGTGTTGAAGGTTTGGGGGTTTCGAGTGCTGCTGGAGGGTTGACTTGCTGTCTTGTGGAGTGTCCCGGCTGGTTGCGAGAGTCCTGGATGCAAAGCGTAGAGGCTTCTAAGGGCTGTAGGTTCAGAGTTTATGTGGTTGTGTGTGTGTGTGGGTATGGCAATGTTGTAGAGAGAGAGAGAGAGAGAAAGAAAGAAAGAAAGAAAGAAAGAAAGAAAGAAAGAAAGAGAGAGAGAGAGAGAGTAACGAAACGAGTGGCCGGCTCAAGGTCTAAAGGGGTGAGATGCAAACTGCTTTATTGCTCTTGGAAGAATTTCCCAGCGTGTTTACGATTATCCAAGCCAAGCTTCACTTGATATACTCACCAAGGAAGGATGTGAAGGACTCCATCCTCCTCGTCCACCCGACTTGCGGACCCACTCAGCCGGGGGACATCGATGGCCTCGTGCGCATCCANNATCCAGACCTATGAGGCCCTGAAGACAGAGACCGAGAAGGAGTACCCGATGTTGCTCGGTATTTTTCTTTATTATTCATCATTTATTATTATTACTATTAATTTATATATTTTTTTTTTGCGGGGGGGGGGGGGG